CACCACATAAGAAAAAAGCCAGAAGTGGCGCTGTGGCTCAAGTGGTAGAGCACTAGCCTTGAGCTGAAGAGCTGAGGGACAACGCCCAGGCTCAGAGTTCAGGCCCCACGACCGGACCCCCCCCCAAAAAAAGGAAATGAACTTAGGACCTGGGTTCTGTCCCAGAGCTTTTGCTCACAGCTAACACTCTACCACTTTAAGCCACAGCTGCACTTCTGGTTTGCTGGTAGTCTCACGGACTTTCCTGCCCAGGCTGGCTTTGAACAATTCTCAAATCTCAGCCTCCTGAGTAGCTAGGATTGCAAGTGTGAGCCACCAGTGCCCAGCAAGGTCCTAGGAGGGTCCTAAGCAGGGAAAGGACTATAATAGAGGAGAAGATGGGGATGGTAAGTCACAGGCCCAAAGAGGAAGATGGTGCCTGCTGGTGTGAGAGCTGTGGGTGAGCCAGGAGATAATATCCTGCTTGGAAAGGGGTCTGACCTAGAAGGCAGAGGGCAGTGTCTGCTCAAAAAGGAGTCAGGAGGAGCTCCTGGCTGCCTGCCTCACTGCTTCTGACATGCTCCTTTGTGTTCCAGGGCCCTCTTGGAAGAGGACTGTCGTAACTTGGAGAGAGAGATCTCCACTCTGCAGGTGAGCACAGCCCTGGATCTTCCTCTAGGTTCACTGCTCAGCAGAGACTCACATGCTTCTCCAGACATGTGTGTTGTTTGCATATGTAAGTGCACATCAACATGGTGAGTCTTGCATCCATTTCTCCATTTCTCATGTGTGCACACTTGTACATGAAATCCTAGCTCAGGATTCTGGCGGAGTCCCCAAGTCCAAGGTCAGCAGTTGTATATTAAGCTGCCAGACAGCCCAGGTTTCTTGTCTCTTTCTTTTAAGACTGTACAAGCCCAACCACCATCTTGCCAAAACCTTCAGCAAGGCTGGTGTTCACTCTGGGCATACCCTCATGGCAGCTGGCTGAGTTGCTTTCCAGGCCCAGCTCTAGGGATCTTGGCCACTGCCTTCAGGCAGGGCTACTGAGCAGCTTTCCCTGCAGTGCTGCCTGGAAGTGGAGCATACACGGGCTTGCCAACCCTCTGAGACAATCCCAGAGCCTACCCTGACAGGTGAGACCCCTGAACAGGCCCCAGAGCACCCCACTTCCTATCCCCAGCCCCACATTGTACATCGCCTAGGAGAGCTGGTCCCTGTCTCAACTGTGCCCTCCCTCAGAGCTGAAGGAACAGAAGAAGGCCATGGAACAGGAGCTGAAGGCCTCTCTCAGGCCTCCCTGTCCCTCTGCTATGCACAGGTATATCAAAGAACATAGGTGGTGGGCAGGGAGGGTTGAAGGGTTAGACTGTGACCTCCCCTCACAGCCATTCTTTCTCATCCAGGCAGCAGTCCTCAGAGTCCTCCACTCAGGGTCTCAGGCCCTTTCCTTGTCACCCTGGGATGACCAGAGTCTGGTCTGGAACTCTCCAAGGCTATCAGCCTGCACCTCCTTTGGAGCGCTGTCCCCAGCCTGGAGGCCGGCCTGCCACTTGCCGCTGGGGCCGACAGCTTCGGTGCAGCCCCAGGAAAGGACCAGCTTCCACAACTGTGTCCAGTGCAGCACCCCGGGCTCCACCTGGAGCTCCAACCTGAAGGGCTGGCCACAGAAGCAGGCTTCTGATGGAATTCACCCCTACTTGCTGTGGCTACCTCCGGCTGCTATGGCTTGCCAGCATCTGGTCTAGTCTTGGATGAGCTTTGCCAGAACCTCAAGGCTGTTCGTCAACGGGTCCTTGCCCCACCCCTTTACCAGGCCCCTTGTATCTAGGGCTGAGTAGCTGCCTGTCTGCCTAACCATCAAAGCCTTTGGCCTTTCTCCTCCCAAGACTCCACAAAGGGACAACAGAGGTCCTATCCCAGCCAGACTCTTGTCCCCTAGGGGACCCAGACAAAGCACAGCAGCAGCTCAGTGACAGGAATAGAAATTTCATTAAAATCTATGGACTTTAAAATCCTAGTGGTGCACGAATGGGCAGGGGCGGGCAGCCCACCGTTATTGCTACAGAGGATTAGAGGCGGCTCTGCCAGGGCTGTCACTGCACAGAGGGCACAGGGGACAGACAAACGGAACACTGCAGGGCTCTGGAGGAGGAGATGGGCACATGGGCTGGGGCCATTTGGCACGTGAACAAGGGCAGCAGATCTGGAAGACTGGGCCTTTAGCCTATGGAGGAGGAGGCAAGAGGAAGTCGTGCAGGGTCCCCTGCTCCCAGGGCTGTGGGCTCAAAGCTCCTGTTGAGCAGCCCCCATCCCTGCCCTCCAGAAACAAATGCTTTGGGAGGGCTGCTGGGTCACAGCCTCAACTGGCTGGGCCTGACAGCCAGGGCTGGAATGGGGCAGAGACCCAGGAGTGGCCGAGTGAGGTGCAAGCAGGCCTGGAAGACAAATTGGAACCGAGGCTGGGGCAGGGGGTGGCAACCACAGATAATACAACTTTTACAAAAATAATTACACAGATAAACAGGGCTAGGTGGTACAGTCTGAACAAGTAACACTGTGCAGCCCCCAGCCCCTCACCCTGCCCCAAGTAGAAAGATCCAAATTTGCCTGGGCAGAGGTGGCGTCTGCTCTGGGGGCAGGAACACTGGTCATGAGGCTGGAGGCCAACCTCAGAACCTCAGCTTGGGGCAGAGTGTGAGGGAGTCAAGGGCCATGGGAAGCCTGATAGGCCTTTGGGGACCTGGCCCAAGACCCCTCCAAAGTGCTTTGGGCCCTCCAACAATCCTCCTGTTTCCTCCCCAACCCCAGCTGCCATCTTGGCATCCAAAGGACATGTAAACACTGGGGACACGAGCACAAATGACTGCACTAGCAGTGGTGGTCAAGGTGACAGCAGCCGTCCTGGCCAGGGCGTGGCATGGCGGGGCAGGCGGTGACACCTGTCTCTGCCTCCCCAGTCTCTGTGTTGGGAGCAGAGGTGGGGTGGGGCCACTCTCCTGGCAGCTGTGCTCATATCCGGGAGTCCTGAAGGCGGCTGGAGCCATTACTGCCCACCATGGGGATCTGGGCCTTGTCCGGATGCAGTGGCTGGACCTCGAACCCATCTTCAGGAGAGGGGGCTATGGTAGGGGCATAGCGCCCAGTCCGATGCTCCAGGAGGGCAGGGCCCCAGTCTCTGCTTGGCTTTGTGGCATTTTTCAAACGCTGTAGGTAGGAGATAGGGTGGGCAGGGCCAATCAGAAGGAAGCCCTCATCCATCTACCCCCTCCCCCACTTCCCATTTCACCTAGTTGCCCCGGGCTGTGCCACACCTTACCTGGAGGAGAGTGTCCCCATCTGTGCGACAGAGCTGGAACAGGGCATAGAGTGGGATGCAGATGACAGAGGACAGGGCCATGAGGAAGCCGATGGCCACGGCCCAGCCTGGGTACTGGTAGTGGTTATAGGTGATTGGCCGGTACTGGATCACCGTGAAGATGAGAATGAACTGTAGGGGTAGAGATAGGGGTGGCATGAGGTGGGCCTAGAACCCCTCCTAAGCCCTCTCCAATTCCCAAGCTAGGAATATTTGGGGTCAAGAAGTGAATGAAGCAAGCAGAACCAAGGCACAGGGCATGGTAGGGACCATGGAAGGGAAAAGCTGTATCTTCCCCAGTGTCCTAGACTAGCCGAAGAACAACCAAGTTGCTGCTCCCTTTGGAAGTCAGTCAGGTTTCACTCCAAGAGCTAAAATGGCTCCCTTCTGCCCATTGAGGTAGGGCTGAATTCCTGGTCTTTGGGCCTTTGCCTGGCTCCAAGACTACAGTTTTCTGGCCATATCACCCCTGCCTGAGGGTTCCCATTACTCTCAGAACTTTTCAGCTTCTGTCCATTCATTCTGGGGAGGCAGCTTCTGTGTCTTCCACTGCCAAACCCTAAGACACCTCCTTCAGGAAGCCTTTCTGAAGACCCCTGAGTGGTAGCTCCCATCCATCTTCCTATTTCCTAGAAGTTCCCAGGACCCGGGAGCTCCTGGGATTGCAATATCTGCTCTGAGTCTCCAGTGCCTGTCATTATCCCATTGATTGATTAAACTGATTTGTGCCAAGAGATTGGGGGAGGGGGAGGGAAAGCAGTGTGAAGAGTGTGAAGCCCTGCTGTGGTGGTGAAGAAGTGACATTCAGCTGGGGGAGGGCCCAAAGGCTAAAAAGGTCAGGCCGTGGACATACTAGGGAGCCTCTTGGGAAGGCGGTGTGTGTGATGCAAAGCAAAGGCCAAGTCTACAGCAAGAGAAGCTAAAAGGAATGGGATCTGGGATTTGGGCAGGTGGCTCATGGTTCCACCTGGAAAGCTTGAACCTTGGCCTGCCAGAAGGGCTCAGTGACTTCTGAGGGTTTTGGGTTTTTTTTTTTTTTGTCCTGGGGTTTGAACTCTGGGCCTGGTGCTGTACCTGAGCTCTTCAGCTTGAGGCTAGCGCGCTACCACTTGAGCCACAGCACCATTTCTGGTTTCCTGGTGGTTAATTGGAGTCTCACGGACTTGCCTGCCCAGGCTGGCTTTGAACCATGATCCTCAGATCTCAGCCTTCTGAGTAGCTAGGATTACAGGCATGAGCCACTGGAGCCCTGCTTCTGAGATTTTCAGCTGCGTCCTAGAACTCTGGCTCCTTTGGCCTTCCCTGACCCAGACCAGGGGTCCCTTCTTGGTACCCCGAATATGGTCACCTGATGATGTCATACAAGAGTATGACAGTCCAGCCAGGCGCTGGTGGCTCACGCCTGTAATCCTAGCTACTCAGGAGGCTGAGATCTGAGGATCGCGGTTCAAAGCCAGCCCGGGCAGGAGAGACTGTGAGACTCC